TTCCCTGGCTGAAGCCAGGGAACATTGCTAATTACCACAGGCAGGCTGTAAGATGTCCTGTTTTGGCATTCTACCCAGCTTGGTCTCTTTTGGTGACAGTCACAGCCTCTAAAGAGTCACAGAGAAGGCTAAGCCTGGCACTATGTCAGAAAGTGGAGTCCCAGGCTCATCTGCCTTGTCTTCCCCATTTGGAAAGTGGGTAAGGTGAATGGAGAAAAAGGACACAATGTGATTAGGACATGGGATGCGAACCAGGCGAGATTAGGCCTTCCCTCTCGTGTCTGTGAATTCAAGAATGTTAACTTAGCCCCGAGCTTGTCACTTTGAAAGGGGGAATAAACCAGAACCAGCCTACTTTGTGTAGCATTTCTGCTCTGTACCCACACAATACACAGGAGCAAATGTGTGATGTGCCCAAGCTAGAAGCCCTGTCCTGGGTCTCGCTTGGTCAGTTCTGCAGTTGCAGAAGAGGAAGAGGCGGGACCAGGTATGCTGGGCAGAGTCCAAATCTCCAGGGAGCCTGTCAGCCACAGCAATGCTGATCACAAAGCACAGCACTGCCTCTACAGTGTGCAGAGAGGTTCCTGTGCTGTGCAGACACCCGGTCTACGTGCCGAGCTGTTGCCTCAGACGAGGCCCCTTTGGAACACATTCCTTTTAGTGTCAAGTGAAGAGTGTAGGAGTTGGGAACAGGTGTGGCTAATTCCTCTGGTGGCCGGCAGCCAGGTGAGAGCAGTTGTTCTGTCCTGAAGATCCAAGGGCAGATGGAGCTCTTTAACTGCGACACTCGGACGGTCTCCCTAACTACTTCTGAGACAGCTCTTACCTGGTATCACTAGGACCCTGGGCCCCAGCTGCACACATAGCTGGTTACTTCCACAAGCCTACATTCCTGGATGTCAACTTCGTTTATGACTTGCCTTAGCATCCAGAAAAACCCCTGGGATGGGAAGCACAGTTGTGGTGTTTGCGGACTCCAGCTTGCGTCCTGACTATGTCCATGCCTCACCCCTGCTTTAAAGGGTCTTCTCAGGGGATACAGACCTTCCTGGGAGCAGTAGGATGGGGGAGCAATTCACAGGGCCTAAGGTTACCCACCTCATTTCTAGACCAAGGAAATCACAGTTCTGAGAGGTTGGTGTACAGAGGTCCACTTCCTTCTACAGGAGATACGCTGAGTAGGTAGGCTAGGTGAGGACGCACCACGACCCAGCAGCAGCCCACTGTCCCCTATCCTTTCTTCAGGTTCTAGGGCTCTAGTCTAGTAGTCTCAGGACCACTTGTGAGTCTTATGGCCCGTCGCATTCCCTCTTCCAATCTTGTGAAGTAGCCATGCTTCTGTGCCCACTGTCCAGAGAACTGAACTCCAGACTACCCAGCCCCAGGCAACTAAGTTCAGGCTGCCTCACCTGCTTCAACCTCTCTTGTTTTCCTAGCCTTGTAGTCAAATGAGACCAAGCAGTGACGGCATGATCCCCCACTGTGAGAAAACCCAGGCTGGTGAGGTGGTCAGGGTTCAGAGGCACGAAGCCATCTCACCTGGGCATGTTAGTGGAAGTGACCCCACATAGAGAACTCAGGGGCTCTAAAAGGAACTGAAGACACAGGATAGGAAAGTAGCACCCCCAACACCTCCAAGACAGGCCACTCGGAGGGGCTTCTCTAGATGCAGAAGAAAGATGTTTGTAATACTGCTCACCCTGCAGTATTCCCAATCCTGAAGGGCAACCACTCTTTAGAGGCCCTAAATATTCTGACTGTGGCTTGTCAAGAGGTAAACTCTGGCCAATCTCCACACAGCCAGAGTGGAAACCCCTGCATAGTCACAGTTGGAATCTCCCGGACAGAGCCACTCTGTCTTCCCAGACAATGCAAACCACATCACCTCTGGGGTTTCCTCCAGAAGCTCCCTTGCCCCTGCTTGGCCTTGTTCTTTCTGAGTCATCACCATAATCCTGAGACAGGAGACCGAGGGCACTGAGGGTCTCAAGAGGTTGTGAGGCCGAAGGCCACCCTGCTGGGCAGCGATAGGGCCACAGCCCAGACCACATCTATCTGCTGCAGAGACAGGGCCCCACTAGACCCACCCAGAAAATGGACAGATGTTCAGCACTCAGAGCTCCTGTCTCATCAGCCCATTCCAGAGAGAGAAAGGGGAAGGGGAGGGGAAGTACCCTGTGCAGCTCTGGCTCATACTACAGCTAGCTACATCCTGGGATTGCAGGGGGCTACAGGAACTTTCTATGCCTCCAACGCCCACACTGAACTTGTTCAGAGTGCTATCGACGGCCAGAGACAAGCCAAGAGGTGCCTGCAATGTCCGGACGGTGTCGCCTTACACCGGGCCGTCGATGAGGAACGTGCAGTCTTTGTCCACACACTGTAACTAAAAGCCAGTGGAGAAGAAGGGACTGAGGTTTCCACCGCCGCTGCCCAAAGACTGGACCCTGGAGCCAGACCCAGGGCCGCGTGCGCGGCGGGCGCCCCAGGCATTCCAAGCTCCCGCAGCCAGAAAACAAAACCACTCGCCCCGGGAGTCGAGGTCCTCTGCAGAGGCACCTCGTATCGACCTTCTGGAGGCTTTTCAAAAACGCCATCTGGCCCTCAGGTTTTGGGACCTTGGCGAGCCACATCGGGGGCTTGCAGTAAGCTGGACCCGGGACGGCTGGGGACGGTGCCCCGACCGTCGGTCGGGCGCCACTAGGCTGACACCCTCCCGCGCACTGCCCTCCCGGCGTCACCCACCGTGCACCAGCCTCCGCATGTCCTGGTAACGAGCCCACAAGTGCGCGCTGAGATCCGCGCTGTCTGCGGGCGCCGAGCGTGGGGTGCTGGGGCAGTGGGCTCCGGGACCTGGCGGGCCGCAGCCAGGACAGGAGGGTGAGGACGAGGCAGCCCGCGGTCCGCCGTGGCCTCCGCACAGCAGCCAGCGCCGAGCTACCGCCCGCAGTCCCGCACCCGCCATGCCCCCTGAGCGCTGCCCCCGCCGCCCTCCGCCCGCACGCTCGCCCGCCGGCCCGCAGCCCTCCGACTGCCCGCCCGCCACCGTGGCCGCGTGCTTCTCAGGACGGCCGACCAATGGGCGAAGCTCGTGGAGCCCATCCGGCCAATGGGCGCACCACTCGGCCCGGGGGGCGGGAAGTCCCGGACGGGGCGGGGCGGGGCGGGCCCCGACCCCCTCCTCCTAGTCCCCAGCTCGGCTCAGGGGCTCTGCGCCCCCCTTTGGTCATCAGGGTGGCAATGGCGGCACCTTCCTCCCTTGGACGGGAAGTCGTAGGGTTTTAGAGCCCGCGTATCAGAGAGGCCCTGGACGGCCGGAGGAGCAAGAGCGGCTAGAGTGCGCCAGTGCACAGCTCCACCTTCATCCCACGGTCTTTCTGTCCCTCCCCTCAGTCCCGGGTTCCCCCGACCCTCCTCCAGACAAGACCTCTTGCCCCAGAGCCCTGCGCCCCCTGCCCGGTTTCTGACCTACTGCCCGTCGGACTGCATGCCCGACTGGAGCTAGGGCCGCTTTATTCACCTAACGTACAAAGAGCTATTTCTGCTTGCAGTGACAGTCTCAAGCTGGGTGAGACCACTTAGCCTGCAGGGCAGCTGATGTTTTGCAAAGGCAGCCTTTTCTTTGTGTTATTGTCTGGAAACCAACACGGGTGACGGATTTCACTAGGAGCCTATGTACTGGGCATAGTAGTGAGTGCCTGTGGCCAAGATTATTGCAGCCACCTGGTTCCGGTAAATGGATTTGCCGAACAGTGCAGGCCCCCAATTGAAACACCATGGCCTGTTCAAGCGCTGTCTCAGTGAAATTCTTTCCCGCTTGAAATCACTCCACTCACTTCTGTTTTCTTAGCCTGCAGGTGTATACCAAGAGAGATTTGATCCAGTTGGCCTTGTTGGTGATGAGCTGCCCAACTGAGCACACGATGGCTGTTGGGTTTAAAGTGGAGTGTAATGTGTACATTTGTAACTCTCCTGAGCTGGGTACTGGTAGTTATGGATGCCAAAGGGTGGGTTCATGGGTGACTGAGCCCTTTAGGTCCCAGTGACCAAGGTGGGTTGTGGAGCCTTGGTCACATGTGACTCTCTTCCAGGTAGATGGATGCTGTACACTTTCCAATCCTCAGAACAAGTGCAGGGGGCTCGAGGGTTCGCTGTGTGTGGCTTCTTTCTGGCCTGCCCTCCAGGGCTGGTGTACAGGACATACAAGGCTGCTCTTAGTGTGTTTATCCAGGACCCTTTCCTGGATCCCACAATCTGTCGTTTAATTCTTAGATTGTCTATCCTCACAGCATCACAGAAAGGCTCCATTTTACAAGGGTGCCGATGGGGTGTGGTCTGACGACAAAGTCACACTTTTTACCATGGTCTCTTCTGCAACTATCGGGTTGTGATGCATAAAAACGCACCTATAAGTACCCGAATAAAGGTAATTTCCCATTCATCATAGACTTATGTTAATTTTAGACTAGTTTGCCATGGACAATCATACTTTTTGTTTTGATATTGATAAAGTTCAGTTTTCAAAAGTGCATATCGAATTTTGTTATTTTAGAAGCCAAGTCCAACAAGTCACATCCCAGAAATAAAAGGAAGGCGTCACGTAACTGCATTTCAGATTGTTTTCTACATAGAGGGTCGCCGCTTCGCCCAGAGTATTACAAAAAAAGATGGCGATGGCGGAGTAGGGGGCGCGGCAAGCAACTCAGAGCCCCGGCAGCTGAGGCAGGTGGGGCGGGCCACGCCACGTTGGAGACCCCGCCCCCTCAGGTCGCCCCGCCTCCAGGGCCTAGGCGCCTGCGCAGGCTGCCTCAGGCCGGCTCAGGCTCACAGAGCACGCGTGCCCCAGCCGCACTCTGATTGGAGCGTCTGAGCGTCCCGCCACACTCTGATTGGCGAAGCCGACCACGCTTGGGAGTGTCGCAGCGGCTGGGTGGCTCAGTCCGCGGGACACAGCCGGACCAGAGTGGTCGGCTGTTCTTACTCCCTCCAGCGATACTGGTTCGCCTGCCTCCGCTCGTTCCCCACTTCGAGGCCCAGTCATGTTCTCCAGGGCCCAGGTGAGGCGAGCTCTGCAACGGGTGCCCGGGAAGCAGCGGTTCGGCATCTACAGGTTCCTGCCCTTCTTTTTTGTCCTGGGAGGAACAATGGAGTGGATCATGATTAAAGTGCGCGTGGGCCAGGAGACCTTCTGTAAGTGGGGGCGCAGCAGCCTCCGTTTCTCCCGTGGGTATGAGATTACCGGCCGCTGAGTCCACTCAGCTGCAGAGCTACTTTCGCTTTAGTCCGAAGGACAAGTGCTCATTTGGCAGCTCTTGTGCGGCACAGGCTCGGGCTGGGGCCCTCGGGGCTCTTGTGTTTTGCTCACACTGGCACTCAACCCTCCTCCCCCGGCACTTTAAGAGGGCACGTGCCTCCACTCAGGCTGTCGTCCTTTGTAACCCGTCCTTGGCCCTGCCTGTGGTGACGCTGAGCCGAAGGAACAGAATTGCTCAGATGCGGAAGAGGGACCAGTCCCGAGGACTCAGAAATTCCGGTTGACCTTTCAGGTCTTTAGCCCAAACTCTGGAGAACACTAGCATGCCTGGTTTATCTGATTACCACCTTTTACAGGCAGTCATTAGTGCTAAGTCTTTGGCCCGTAACTGTGAAAAGAATGTCAGACATCCTTCACGATTTCTCCCAACCTCTGGGCCCTTTGTTTTGCCTCTTATGTAACTTTTATCATTTGAGAATTGCCAACTCAAAAATTTTAAGTTGTTACGTCAAGGTCTCCATTGACGACTTGCTACTCTGATAAAGGGCCAGTGCTGGCCTTGAATCTTCAAACTTGCAGCCATCTCCTTACCTCAGCCAAGTGCTGGGATTATAGGCATGGGCCACCCTAATGACCATCCATGAGGATCCAGTGAACAAGGCAAAGGGTTCTCCATTTCAGAAGAGCTCAAGGGAATAAGACTGGGTGGGTGTAGCTTGATGGTAGGGTACTTACTTGACTCACATAGGCCCAAGCTCAATTTCCACCGCGTCGTGCCCCCCCTCCCCCAAGCATGCCATGAGGAGTGTGAGTAGTTAAAGAATCCTGCTTGGGTACCTCATTCGATCAGGTGTGGTGTGGGAAGGACTGCCTGCCAGATAGGGGGAGACCGTTGTGTGTGCTGTTTGAAGGATTTCAGCAGGACTAAGTGGAAAGTGACACGGATAGAAGGGGTACCTGGGTAGGGCCACAAAAAAACTGGACAGTAGGACTATATCTTAGTGATTGAAAGGGCTCTTTTCAGAGATTGGTAAAAGCATAGGCAGTGTATGCTGGCCAGGTTTGAGATGATGGGCTATTCTTAGGGGCAAAAGGAATGCCAGGAAGTGGGTGGGGCTGAGGCTGCACTAGAGGTAGTGCTGGAGGCTTCTCAAGGAACAGCTGAGGCAAGGCTTGCACTCCTATTTAAGGTGACTTGGAGTGGCCAGAAGAGACACCAGGAAGATTTCCCTTGAAGGCAGCTGATAAGTAAGTGTGATTGTGAGGGGGTAGGTAACCATCTGCTTAGAGGATGAAAGATACATAGTTGCTGGAAGTAGGGCTGGAAATGGGTTGGCATTTGGGAAATGTTGGATTCAGTTTTCAGGGAAAGTGTGTGAGGGAAGGAGAGGGATAGGGGCTGGAAGACTGCACTTTAGAAGTATTAGTGCCCAGTGGGATCAGCCTTAACAATTAGCCAGAGTTCTTTACAGTGCCTTTCGCTGAGAAAGAAGGGAGTGTTTTAGTCAGTCATTCAGGGCTGAGGAAGCAGCTTTCAGCCATGCTAATGGCATCAAAAGGTACCTCACTTGGAAAGTGAGGCAGTTGGAGCAATCTACGGTTGGGGCTTTGGAGGTCTGTCCAGAAGGTAGGTTAGTGAGTAGAGTGAAGGAACTTGAGATGGTTTGGCAGGAAGAGAGGGAGACGAAGGCCTAAGGGACAGCAAGAGGTGGTGGTGAGCTCAAGGACAGGAAAGCTAGGAGTGGAACAGCAGAAGTTGTAGTCTGAGCAGATTTTCCACAGAACACTGACAGGAGATGCCAAGGGAGGCCAAGGGGATGCTATAAAGATACAGATGAAGAGGCAGTAAACCTGAGCTGGAGCTGGCAGCCAGCGTCACCAGTGATGAGAGGAGAGAGAAGATGGCAGTCAAGTAATAAGTCTCGAAAGAAGAGGATTTTCAAAAGGAACATGTTATTTTTACTTCCCTCCTTACTCAGGGTTTGGGACCCTGGAAAGCAGAGAGCCCTGGGGCAAGGGAAATTTGGAGAGCAGAAAGATTTGCCAGGACATGAATCTGAGACGTGAGTCAGTCTCTGAAAACACTGACATTTTTATTCTTTTGTTATCTCAGACTCAACATAGCACTCAGCTTATTTTATGTTAAATTGTTTGCCACCAAGTTACATAATGTTAAGATTCAGACAGTCAAGACAGACTACTTGTTGACTTATTGTCATGGGGGCTGTTTCTAAACTCTACTAATCTTTCCTTATACTAGGCAAGCACTCTGCCATGGAGAAAGACCCCTAGTCTCTTTTAAATTCTCAGTTCCTTAAAATCTAAGCAAAATTTTTGTTTAATACAGATGACGTCTACCGTAGAAAAGCTTCAGAAAGACAGTATCAGAGAAGGCTGGAAGATACATCAGAGACCAACCTTCGTAAGATAATAAAGTAAATATGAATTTTCAGTATCAATTTCAGCCACTTTGTGTTTTCAGTCTCACTTTTGTCCAGGCTGGCCTTAAAGTCAAGGAAATACCTGCCTCTGCCTCCTTATATCCATTAAAAATATACTCTTTCAAGGGGACTAAAGAGAGCGGCTAAGAGCACTGGGTGCTCTTCCAGAGGGCCTGGGCTCAATTCCCAGTACCTACATGGCAGCTCACAGCCATTTGTAACCTCCACACCCTCTTCTGGCCTTTGTGGACACTGAACACTTATGGTGTACAGATAGATATATGTGCGGGGGCAAAAATTATTTTTGAATGAATAGTAATCTTTTAGCAACTTCATCTTAGTTCAAGAATTGCCTTTACAAATAGTTCTCCAGTTTCTACTTGACTATATCCCTAGTCACTATTAGACACTATTTTCCTAAAAATCAACTTGTGTGTTGCATTCACAAAATATTTCTTAAGCTATTCAGATGAACCAAGACGTTTTGTAGTGCAGTCTGGATTATTTGTGAAGCCTTTTAAAAAAAAGTTTGTTTCTTAATTATCTGTGTTTGTGTGTGTGTGTGTGTGTGTGAGTGCAGGTATGTGTGGAGGTCAGAAGCATTGGATCCCCTGGAGCTGGAGAGGGTGTGAACTACCTCATGTGAGTGCTGGGAATCACGTAGGTCCTCTGGATGAGCAGAATGTGCTCTTTAACCACCATGCCATCTTTCTAGCCCCACCTGTTTTTTTTTTTTTTTTTTTGGTGGAATTCCAATGAAACCATGAGCTTTTTTCTCCTTTTCAAGATCACCCTACTTAAGGTGACAGGTCACATTCTTGTCCTTTTGTCCTTTTCCAACTTGTAAGCTTTTGCTAGAATAGGGGGGATTTCTTAGTGACTGAAGATTGCTCAGCTAACACTCTAGAGCAGGGCTGCACACCTACTAACAATACAAAGCTAGCACACAGCTGAGTTGAGTCAGGCAACCGGGCAATCTGACCCCAATATAAGTTTAGATCACAAGTAAAAGGAAACTCCATGTTTTCAAATAAGAAAGTGACCTACAAGCTGGGTGTTGGTGGTGTACGCTTCAGCTCCCTAAGTAGCAGGATTAAAGGTGTAAACCACTAGGCCAGACAGGTTACAAACTTAGCATTTATTGTACACCCCCCACTGTGGTGGTGGGGGGAAGCCATGGGATTTAGAGCTTCTCTTTTTCTTATGAATTGATGGGAAAAGTGCCTACATTAGGCATACAGTAAAGTAACAAGAAAGGTTATTTTTATCTATCTTACAGTTCTGTTTTGGAAGACTTATCTAAATCCCTGATGTTTTACTTAACCACATTAGCCTTCTTTTTATGTTTGAGTTTTTCATAATGAGTTTCCTCTCAAGAAAACTGTATTCTTGAACCATGGAATTTTCCAAAGCAACTTTTTTCCTTGTAAAGGAATACCAAAATTTATGAACCACCACCAAGACATGAATACATTAATACCCCAGAAAGGCAAAAGTAATAGTCTGTTAATTTACTACTGCTGAACTTTCAGTCAGCTGACCCAACATACTCTCAAATTAAAAAGGAGCAAAGACACTTAGCAGTATCTGTCTGTGCAGTGCTCGTGGGCATAGTGATATATATCCCTTCCTACAGGCTTAGGACAGAACCACAGGGCTTTGCAAAGTGGTATTAAGAGAAAACACCTGGCTGATTTCACCATCATTTTCTACTAAAAGCAGAACACATTTTAAGAACGTGTAAACCTGTTTTAAGATTTGCCTGAACCACTAGTATTATGGTCACAGACAGGCTATTTAAAATGAGGTAATTCTTCTTTTTGATGGAGGATGTACTTCCTTTACTGTCTACCCTCAATAACTTGCTCATCATTTTTGGAACCAATCTTGAGGACATGGTAAGGATTCTTTGACTGCCAGCCTGAGGGATGTGGGGCATGTCAGACTCCAACTGGGTTCTGCACATTGCATTCCACCTGACGGGAGGTGCTTTCTTCCTTGAACTGGTAGCACTATCCTCCTAAGCGGGAAGTCAGGGTTTGTACGAGTTGTCTTGAGTCTGCTCAGAACATTTGAACACAGCTTTAACAGAACCACCAAACCTGGCTAATCCAAATCACTTTGCAAACTCTTTGTTTTTATTTGGATTAAAAAGCTTTGATGAACAAACATATGATACATACATGGTATAGAACCAGTTACCACTTAAACTTCAGATAATGATATAGTACAGAAAATAGAATAAACCAATTTTTAATCAGGCTTGGAAATGAACCTTCAAGGTGAAAAGTTATAACATCAATTTGGGGATTTTACACAAGTTGTCCCTCACTCCCACCCCAGTTCAGAAGGAGAAGGCAGATTTAGTAAAACCAAGGTCTTTTAAATCAGTTGGCTGACATTTTAAACCTACAGGTCCCCCAACTCAATATAAACAAAACTCTTCACAGGAACTTACATTTTGAAAAAAATTAGGTTATTATATTTCTTAAGCCACATTACTACAGTTCTTAAGTCGTGAGAAAGTGTATTGTTTACTTGTACTGCCTTAAGTCAAGCTTTTTCTTTTTTGAAGATGGCTGATCTCAAATCCTATATCCTAAGTAATAACTGGTATTCTCTAAAAGCATGATTCTAAAATAAATAGTATCTTAATGGTTTTAATTCATTAACTAGTTAATTGTTTGTTAAACTTCATCAGGGCCTGCTTTAGTGACACCCTATGCTGGATTTGTACTATAAGGGAACCTGGGCTGGCTCTTGGTTCCTCCAGCAGTAACACACTGGGAAGCAGACAGCAGGAGGAGTGCCCTGGCTTCTAGTGCCCCTGGCTGCTGACAGTGAAGGGTTTTTAGAGGCTCCTAGGGAGCTGCATCTAGACCTTTAACAAGAGAAATAAAATGAGTGCATGAAATAAATAATTTAACCAAAATGAAGTTTCTGGTTCTTTGGTGTAATTCAAGGGTACCTAAAAAGAAAAGAATTTGATTACATTTCATAGTCCATGATGAGTCAAGGGTCCAAATGACCAGGAATCAAATATTTATTTAATTCAGTTTAGCAATAAGGTACTGGCATAAGCTGCAGTGCATTTTTTAAAATTTAAAATTCTTTAAAATACTTAATGAAAATTGAGATGCAGTGGTTGACTATTGGCATTAAGTCACAAGGGTTCCTGGATTTAAAGCCGATACCGGGGACTTCTTTCCATTATATACTCTCATGATTTATTAAGCATGGTAATTAAACACGAGTACTGATTCATTATATTTTAAAGGAAAAGACTGTCTTTTGACAATCACGCTCAGTGAACAGTGGCAGCATCAGCATAACACAGACCACCATGTGAAATGCTGCCACCTGAACAACGTACACTGCCTCAAAATGTTTATTCTAGGGCTGTGTTAGAAAGACAGGGTTGCAGTGGCTGAGTATTGTAGCACCACCTTTAATCCCAGCACTTGGAAGGAAGAGGAGGGCAGGTGTGAATTTGGGGCTACCAGCCAAAGTACATAGTGGGACCATGTCTCAAAAAAAGAAAAGAAAAAAAGACAAGGTCACCAAGTCCAAGTGTTTGGGATCTGTAATAGTCTTTTTTGGGGGAACATTTTCTTAAAGTATAATTTCCTTTTCCCATAATCCAATGCACAAGCTGAATTTTAACACATTTTAGAAAGTATTATTTCTGGTTGAGAATTCTAACCCTGAAACAAACAAACGAAATACCACAACTGATAACAAAGAAAAAGAATCCAGAGCATCTGCATATGTAGGCAGTCTACCCTTGCACAGTTATGCGCAAGACACAGCTTGTGTCTTTCTTAGGTATTATGCTTAAAAGAAACCACCTCCATACATACTTCAGTACTTTCTTCAATGTTTTCCAAGGCAACAGATGTAAAGTTTCAAATCATATAACATGAAGGCATACACTGAAACATAAACAGATCATAAGTACTCTTAAACTTACCTTCCAAAACTAAATACAACTCAGATCTGGGCACATGGTCTGCAAAAGTTACTAACAATATAGATGTTAAACTCAGCACAAAGTTATTTTTTCCTTCAGTTACAAAGGTTGTGGATGGATACACAGCACTGACTTTTAGATTTCTATAGTGAGCTTGTGTTAATACAGCAAATATGTTGAGTCTGCCACACATCTACAGTCTATAAACAACCTTTCACAGCACTTTGCTTTTACCTGTAAGAAAACCTGCAGATATTTAGGCATGTGGAACATACAAGTACACTCCTCTAAGATGTAAACTAGTACCAAATTCACATTTCATTGTCAATTTAAACTAATTTGTAAACTTTTTTTAAATTTTTTTCTTATGTGTGTGTATATATATAATATATATATTTATAAAAAAGAAAACCAAACCCCAAGCCAAAACCTTTGATGATTTAAGTCCCTTAACAAAGATAAAACTATAACTACACACACACACACACATATATATATATATAACCAATTATGAAACTGGTTTTAAACAAAGGAAACGTATGCAAAAAAAAATCTGTGTATTTGATAGTCAACTTAATATAACAAAACCAAATTGAAATAGCTTATTAAAAGTGTCCTTATATAAAAATGGCCTTGTGATGTACAGTAAAATGCAATAAAAATTATCCTTTGTTCCTCCCTCCCACCCCCAGTAACTAAAATGGCTACCGTTCTCACAACTCTTTGCTTCTATAGAAGAAACACAGTGATGAGATTAAACATTTTCTAGGTTGTATGCTTGTCGAATGTTAAGAGTGTCTCGAAGCATTAAATCCCGAAGGCGCCAGAGGGCATCTGCCATGGTGGTGTGTGCCCCTTTACTTTTGAGCCAGTGAGAAGGTAGGCGGCTTTCCTGTTCTTTTGACAAATGGACATCCCGTCTTCGAGCTGGAAATGTGATGTATAAACAGAGAGACATTTGAATTTTAAGATGACAAAATGACCTCTAGGTAAAAGGTTGATGTATTTACTAAAATATTTATTAAAACCGTGAATATGTGC